ACCACAGCATGAGGGACTATATTGAAGTGCCACAGCATTAGAGAGGTTGAGAACCACCAGTCTATCAAGATAAAGTGATTGATAGCAGGTAAAACTGTTACAGGGAAGACAGCTAAAAGATCAACTCTTTTTTAAGATACAGTTTCTATGTTTTCTTTAAGGAACTGCAATCTCTATTGGAGAAGGAATAGAAGCCTCTGCATAAGAAGGGCAAATAAACAAGGACAGTTTTGTGCAGATTTGGATTAAGTCAGGCACCTTGTCAGCAATGGGGGCAGGTAATCAGTGAGCCATCAGTGAGCTCGTTCCCACAGCCACAGACAACAGCCAGGCCTCTGGACTCTAGTTGGTCTTGACCAGGTGAAGACAGCAAGCAAGGAGTGCTCCACAGAGTGTTAGTCAGCCCTGCCTGAGGAAGAGCCCATGAAGCTGCTGTCTTCTTTCTCCTTGAGTAAAATAAAAAGGAGACTTTGGAGGCCCCACGAAGATCAGGAACGTAGGTCCCATGGCCAACACTGTAGGGTTTCTCAGCTGCTGTCTGATCTACAGCCCCAGGATAGTTCCTAAGATATAGGTCATGGGCTTCCAGCCTCCTATAGACTTCTAGAGCTTCTCCAAGACACAACAGACAGCCTGCTCACAGCCTGGCCTCCTAGGAAGAGAGATGTTCATAACTTTCTTGGGTATCATCCCAGGCTGTACATCATGTCACCTTTTCCATGATTATTGAATCGAAAGAGACCATCATGTGGGACTTAACTGACCCAAAGCAGAAGGGAAGTCCTGATTTGCCCTACCGACAATCTGCATATTGATGAGCTAAGAAATCTGTTTCCTGCTTATTGCTGGTGACTTCAACGAAGGGATCCAGCATTGTCAATCTCTTCTGGAGACTTGAACATTCATTCACCAGAAGATAATGCAATAACAGTTGATTTGAACCTCTTATCCAATGATGACTTTTCATTTGATGAGTTGATCAAATACTTTGGGGACTATCTTCTATCTTTTGGCAAACTGAAGTATTTAAGAATTCCCAACACCAATTCTCTGGAGAGCCCAAGTGGTGAGAGTATCCTCCAGTGGTTCTAACCACCACATACATCTGAGCTAGCCTGTGGAAATCTCACATACTGCATCTGTCAATCTATGCAGCCTTTCTATACAGGCATCAATCTACATGTGTTTACACACACACACACACACACACACACACACACACACACACACACACTTGCTCATACACAGTCATACAACACTCTTGCCTACACAGGAACAAGTGTGTGTACATGGCACTTAAAGAGACCATCTGACAGAATTTACTTTCTTTTTAATATTTTTGAAGTCTGCTTTATGATCCTGTTGACCTGCTATTAGTGGAAGCTTAGCTTTCAGCAAAGGTAATTAAATTATAAAATCACCACTGCAATCATCAAACCACTCATAAAGTAAGAAATGAAAAAAAAACTGAAATAAAAATCTTGCAGGCTTCTCTTGTAATATTGCTCCCTGATGTTAATTACATTTAAATGGGCAAGTACTATTTTGGTATCATTCATATGCCTCCAAAAGTACTTTCCAGTTTATCATACCTGTCAACCTCAGCGCATCACAGGCTAATACTTTATTAAGAAAAAAATCATTAGGGAGCCGCTGATCCCATTTAAGTACATTGGGCAGAATGTAAGACTAATTAAAAAGCATATTTTTACATTATTAATTTCTGAGTTTCACACTTAATGAATGTGAGATGACAGGGCTACTATTTTTACATTCTGGCACTCTGGGCTTTCCAGTCTGGGGAATTAAATTCAGGGGTTTTTGCAAAGATGTTGCTTGGGAGAATTGTTTTCAAGGAAATCTAAGTTTTTGTAGCTGTGCCTTTTCCTGGGAAATTACACTAAAGCGCATAACAGCCACTTAAAAAGACTAGTTAAATAGATGTTATTTTTTTCATCATACAGCTATAAAAGTATTTTAGATGAGGTGTAAAATATGGTTTTTAAATGATATTATGATTTGCAAACACTAAAAAATAATTGCAGTGCAGTTGAGAGAGAGAAAACATCTAATCTTTATTGTGTAAGACAATGTGATAAAATATTTTACAGCCAAAAGCTCATTTTACATCTGGAAAATTGTGTAAACTGATGAAGGAAAAAAAAATCTCATTAAAACTAAAGGTTATTTTTTTTAATATTCTCAGAACAAAGCGACACATTACAACTGCATTTTTCTTCTCTCTCATATTTATTAAATCAGACAAGTGCCTAACATTTGATATAAATAAGAGCATAAAATGACAAGACGGTGTAGACCGACAGAGATGGATTGTGTCAGGATGCAGAAGAGTCACGTTAAGAACAACCGTGGGTGTTCTGTGGGCTTGTTAGCTATATTCAGTTGCACGGATACGTTATTAAGTATTAGGTGTTACATTACTTAAAACTTCGCTCGGTGTACACTGGGCTGTCCATTCCTGCCAGTCCCCTGCATACACAGCCTGTTTTTATAGGGCTATGCAAGGGGGAGGAGAGGGAGGGCAAAAAAAAATCCTTTCTTTCTTTTTTTTTTCCATTTCTTTTTCAAATGTTCTTACAATTACCTCTCTGTATTTTTATTGTCTTTTTACAAACCACAAAACTCACACTGGAGGCGAAGCTTAACCGCTGAGGCTTTCCTCCTGTAAATATTAGGAAATTACATTTGTACAAACTGCGGGGCTTTGTAAATGGGGGCTGGAGAGCCTCCAACACAAATTAATCAGGATAAAGTTGCCCTGTGTTGAACATGACCATAGTTTATTTTCTTAAAGTATTAATTTGTCAACAGCTTTCCTGCCTCGGCGTGGCTCATTTGGCGGGCAGAGAAGGAAGACACAGATGTGGCCGGCAAGAACTGCGTTTTTCACCTTGCGGTTTTTAGGAACTGACCACAGTTAATCAAAACAAAAGTGTGCTTAATTTTTCAGTATGATTGTCCATATAAACTCTGAATATCACATGACAAAAATTCGAATAGCCACATAGGTAGATGCCCCCTTTTAAGGGAAAAGAAACCCGTTGAATTTCATGTTGAATAATTGATGTTTCCTTGCATTTTTAAAAAAAGGATTTCCAAAAGAAATGCTTTCAGATTCTGAGTCTCTAATTTTCTGTTTCTTTACCCCCTACCCCAGTCCTCAGAGTGGCGTGCACAGCCCTGTGTCTTTTGGGTCCCCAACACATTGTGGTATGTTTAATTATAACCGCAATCTCCTTAAAATATTTGTTCCTTGCTCGGCTTTTGGAATGCAGAAGTGTGTGTAACGACCTCCATTTTTCAGATTTGCCAAAACAAATTAAGGAAAATGCTTGGCTCGCCCCTTGCCAAATGTTTACTGCCTTTCCAGGAAAGCAAATCTTATTTGTAATGTATATTAAACCTGAAGTAAATAATGCATCCTGTCGGAGGCAAGAACACATTTTGCCACTACCAACAGTTACCAGTTTTGCTTTTGATAAAAATAGATCGGATAAAGGGTTTCTTCGCTTAAGGAGTTCATCTCTGTGTGGCTAGGCTTCTCATGAACCTGAGGTGCTTATCTGAAAGAACAGCCAAGCACAATAAACTAAGCCCCGCTGAACCACTTAGAAAAGTATTTCTCCAAACAAAACAAAACAAAAACAAAAATCAAACAAACAAAAAATCCAACCCCCCCACCACCAAAAATAACAACAAAAAACACCCCAAGCAGCCTATCACCAGGTCTCAAAGCTAATACAAATGAAGTCTTTAAAATCCCACTTTCATTTTTTTCTCACCCAGGCATTATAATAATGGACCCATTTTAGGAGGCTCTCGCCGCTCCTCCCTCTGCTCTAAGCACAAGGGCAGAAGCAACAGGGCCTCCTCTGGAGCCAGCCTGGTAAGAGTGAGGGGCAGAGGTCTCCTTCTGCCCCTTCACCCAGCCAGTGCAAATCATTTTTTTTCCACACGTCACCACACCTCCTGAGCGCAGATCAACTTTAAGGCGGTTTAATAAGAGCCAATTCTGAGCACCCGTATTAGCCGGCTTTCCCAGCCTCTCAGGCCTTTCTGGGTTGTTTACATTAACATACATCTTCAAATATTATTGACACTCACCTTGTTTTATTAGTTTGCATTTACCTCCTTCACCATCCTATTATTCAAGATTTCCGTTGTTGCCAAGTATTAATCAATGTATGATGCTGTGCAGTTGGGCAAACTGTAGGCAGCCGAGCGCCCCTAGGGTTACCACAGCCAAGAAGGAGAAAAGTGTTTTAGACATGCACACAACATGTGGTTTACTGTTATCATTAAATGAGGTGAACTGGGACCCTATACATATGGATTCTGAATTGCATAAATTTTGATTGATATCATTTGAAGACCGAGGCTCTGAAAGGCAAGATTTTGTGAAAGACGATACACAGACCAGCTATTACCACATACATTCATACCAGGAGAAGTATCTGAAATGAACGAGGCAGCTGGCTTTTAAATAGCTAAAACATAACATCAGTACTTATTTTGAATAATGAAAAAAGAGGTAAAACATGTTGACCCCTGCCTGACAGGAACATGGCCCAAGAGTCGGCTGGCCCCTGGGGGCAGGCTCTACTATCCAGTAGCTGCCAAACCTTGCTTTCTCGCTCTCCTGCCCCCTCACCACCCCCTTCCTTCCTTCGCCCTCTTCTCTTTTTCTCAAAAGTAAAAGAAAAAAAAGTAAATATTTTTTTGAACATTAAGCCACTATGGACAAGGCAGCCAGAGAAAGAATTTTCGAAAATTCAGGAAACACTTGAGAGGTAAAGCCAACATCCTGAGACAGAAGACAGGCCAGCTTTTGACACCAGGTCGGACCTGAGAGAGGCCTAAAACCTCCAGCCAGGAAGTGCGTGCCCGGGGTCAGGGCCCCTGAGAGAGTACAGCTCACCAGTTTCCACGCACCACCGACACCAACAGGCCTCGTCATGGGAAATTGGTTGAAAATGTGCTGACCCACATAAAACTTTTATTAGAATCCGACAGCAGGAGGTACTTCCAGGGACTCACAGACTGGGAGAGTTGGGGAGCAAGTGAGTAGCCGGGCCCAGGGGTCCCTCTTGGTGGCCCTGTTGTCCCTTTGCGACTGGGTGCACCTGGGGCCTAGGAGCTGCCAGGCGCTCTTGGAAGCTGCAAGCCACAGTCCCCAGCGCCCTCATGCTGTGCCACTGTGCCAGGACTGGGGTGCTAAGCCCGGAACCCCAATACCACTGGGCCTGAGGGCAGCAGTACAAGCCCGGATTCCTGCTGAGCTCCTGAGCCGGCAGACTTTCTGAAAGGGAAAAGGGACATAAATCAGGAAATTAAAAAAAAAAAAAAAAGTTTCTGCACATTTTCAAAACCCACGTTGCGTTCTCTGAGGTCCTTTTCATTTTAACCAAATCAGGGGGAACTTGTCCTCACAGCGGCGAGGCAGATGGAACGATAAATCACAGGCGCCGTTGACTGCCTGCAGTGAAGTCTCCGCAGCTGTCACTTTTTGTCTCTTTGGTTTTAGCTGACATGGTTTGAGGTCCACTGTGAACCGATCTGGACTTTTTTTTTTTTTAATTTTTTTTTTTATAATCATATCCATCAAAACGACCAGTGGCCACCAGCCCTCCGCAGCCATCTATCCAGTGGCACCTGCCCCCGCCCAGCCCAGTGCCACCCTGCTCTTAGGTGAGGCTGGGGGGGGAGGGGTGCACCTCGTTCTCGTGGATTTTCTTCTTCTTCTTTTGGCCTCCAGCTACAGCTGTGATTTTTCTGAGCAGTCTTGGCTCCTGTTATTAAAGTTGCATTGGGATAGAAGCGAGCAAAGCAGCTAACAGCCGCTGCGCACCCGAGCTGGGAAGTCCGGCAGCCTGGTTCGTGTTGTTGTGTTTTTAAGTGCACGCGGAGGCGCGGGCAGAAGCTCGGAGTTTCCAACTCGTTGCTTATTTTGCAGAGTAAACAAGCAAATGTTATGTGCATAACCTTAGCTGTCTCGCTAAAGGTCAGAGCGCCCCTGCTCATTTTCCCGGCTGCCTTTTGGGGGCACTCTGATGCCGGGGATTTCCTTGGGTGTTGGGGAAACAACGCGAGCCAGCTCGGCTAACAAAGACTCATTTTACAAAGCTGCAAAACAAAAACATTGATTACATTTGAACCCGAGTGAGCAAGTTTGCTTCCGTGTACGAAACACACACCCACGCAGGAGCGCAAAACGGCCGGTGGCTGGAGCCCAAGGGCCAAGGGGCAGCCGGAAGATCCCCTTGGAGAATATTCCCTTGGGCCAGCCTCTAAGACTGTGGTCCTGAACCAATCAGGGTATCCTGGCTGTGCAAGTTGCCTTTCAGAAGCCGGTTTCAAGTTTCCCTGAACGTTGCATTTTCTTCCAAGGCCCACTTCACTTCAAAGTCTGTGAGAGTGCTCTCATTTAAGCCTTGATAATTTCACAATTGTACACTGGCAATACCAAACCAAACCGAACAAAAACAACCAGTATGTGGGCACAGGGAGCTTAGCTCATAGATACACAATTAATAACAACAACAACAAAAAAAAGACTGCTTTAAAAAAAAATCCCCAGTTAGGTCAGGTTAAATTTATTATATTCTTTTATAGCTGAACTCTATGGTTTTGACGTGAGGTGACGGCTGAAATGTACCAGAGACCTTTGGAATTTCAATACTATATATTACCAAGAGGAAGGAACTACGGTTCTGCAATCAGAAGCTAGGTGCTGGCCTTAATATGTTCAAGGAAAAATAATGTTAATTTTTGTGGAATTATTATTCTACTTTTTTTTTTTTTTAAAGCATGGAGTGAGTTCCCGGAAGGGCAGGGTCTGTAGCATACCTGCCAGACATGGACACTGGCTCTGTCAGAAAATTTCAGATTGCTACAGTAAGATGCCAGAAGCATGGGCTCCTGTTCTCAAGTGAAACCATTTAGGTGGGCTAATGCGCTGCTCGGGATGTCTGAAGACTGTTTTCTTTGTGTAACTTTTCAGCTGGGTGTGTTTGGGCGTACAGGTCTCATGTCCACCAGAAGTGAACCTGAAATTTAGGCCAGGGTGTCAAGGGCCATCTCTCTGCTCAAAGTTCAGTTCCAAATGGGGAGACTTTTTTTTCCCCCCAGTAACATTCTTTCATGTTGAGAGGCACAGGTTTGTCTTTCAGGATCTCCTATTCAGCTCAGACTTTGGAAAGAAAACAGATTGAATACAGAATCCATCTGGGAAACAGTGTCCAGCTGCAAGTGCCTTGTGCTACATCAGGTGTCTGCAGAGGGTTCTGGAAGCCTCTACCTTCCGAACCATCAGAATTAAGAGTGTCCCTAAGGTCTGCTCGGGGTCCAGCCTCGAGCTCGGCGTTGCTTTCCGAAGCCGTGTGACCATGGTACTGACCCAGAAACGTACCACCAGGCTGCTGCTGTCACTCAGCAGGGCACGGGTACCACTCTCTATAACATTGTGGGTGTGCTGCCTTCCAAAGGTTCTGCTAGCTCCTGGCTAAACAAGCTGCGTGATTTCAGGAGACTGCAGTTGTGTTTGGACACCAGTGGAGAAAAGGCAACAGCAAAACCTGGGGGAAAAGAAAACACACACACACACACACACACACACACACACACACACACACACACACCACAAAAAAGCCAAACAGAAAAAGGAGATGCGAACCTTTATCAGTGAAGACTGCAGTTCTCTGTGTTTGCTAGTTTGGAATGAATGGAAATCTGGCAGAAGTGGCTAGTTACCAAAATACAGCAAAACTCTTGAAAGGCAGGTGTTTGGAGCCCCAGAATGTGTGTGTATATGACTACAAGAAATTAATTTCCTATTCCTGGGGAAAGGCAAAACATCCTTTCCTTTTTCTCCCCTTTGTGTGTGTGTGTGTGTGTGTGTGTTATTTTTTTTCTCTCAGAGTAGAATATTATTTGGCACACAGAGTTGATGAAAGGAGAGCAGGTCTCAAATTCTGCCCTAACCATGGAGCCACAGAACCTTCCAGCTGCGTCCCCAGCAGACCCTGCGAACTCAGTGGCAATTAAGGAGTCTGCTCCTTGGTTTGCATGACATATTTTTCAAATCATGCAAACTGCTAAGAGAGAAACCAAATACCTTTGTAAGCCAGTGTTCCTTGTGCTGGTCTCTCTTCTACCCAGAAGTCTTCATCCTAGGAGGGGAGAGGCTGGTGTTAGGCAGGGATGACCTGAGCAGAGTCCTGAATGGCATCATTGAGGAATCAATCTATTGCACCGTTGGGGTATTCCTATTTTTAGGTTGATTCCGTCTCCTCCTGTAAGAGTCCTGGTGCAGCCTAAATATCTCTAGGCTTGACTTTTGCTGCATATGCCACCTTGCTGGTGGGACTCTTACCTGATCCTTTTGGCCAGCATGTGGAGGGCTATAGCAGGCTGGCCTGGCATGGGCACCATACTCAGATATTCAAATGGACTTGCAAAAATGCCTTGATGTTGTTGGTAACTTGTTTTTATTTTAAGTGCTAAATTAACAAGAGGAAAAAGGAAGCATTATTTAAATGTTTACACTTATGTTAACCAAGACAGAAAAGGGACAGAAAAGGGACACATTTTTCGTATTTTGGGTTTTTGAAGGAACAAAAGGGGGCAAAAATCCTGGTACTGTGTTTCGTTGGGCTTCTCATATCACGTAAATCACTCACCATTTACTAAGCGTCACCCCCCCCCCCCCGAGGCATGCTTCCAGAAGCAGTACCCAGAAATGGAGAGGAGCTTAATAAATAAGCCAGGATGAGAAACTAAGGTACGCAGGCAGGATCAGCCTGCCATGTTGCAGGTGACAGGCAAGAGGGCTATCTGTCCCCATCCTGGAGCCACAGCCCGGCTCCGTGGATGCTTTGGTTGTCTTCTGGTGGCCTTTTGAGAGCCACTCACAGTGTGTCCTCTGTTTCTGCTGTCAGTAGTCAAGTCCTTGTCAATGGAGTTTGCTAAAGAGAGCACCCACAGAAGAAAGGCGGGTCTGCACAGTCGCCTTTCTTTAGACCGAGCAAGTGAGTCCATCCTCAGACCTGCCCCCTTGTCTGAACACTCTTCTTCTCATGAAGTTCAAGGTCTGTCATGAAGAAGAGAAATGACCGGACATGGAGGCAGCTGGACTTTCTCTCAGCAACATTTGACTATCTTAAAATAGTGTGGCTGTGAGCAAAATAAAAACATGTCATGTGCCCAGGTGACATTTTGTAGCAAACAAGAAAACCACAACCCAGGAAGGGTTGTATTTTATGCCCACAACAACCTGACAGTTTTCTCTGTAAAGAAAACATGACACTTTTCCAAATATCAGAGGAGGCAGCCGCTGCTCTTGGGATTCCTGTCCTGTCACTGAACTGGAAGGTCGCAGTGCAGCTTCATGCTTTCCATGGCTTCAGGATGTGGTGGCGGAGGGTTTGCTCATAAATGCTGCAGGCTAAGGGAAATCTTTCCCTTCATCTCTGAAGGAAAGTGACAGGAGGAAAAAGGTCCTATGCCCACAGCAGTAACCTCTAGGTTTAAAGACTTGACCCCAAGCAATGGCCAGGAAAGCCCTCCACGGTAATGTGTGGTTGGGGCTGCCCCTAATGTACAAGGGAAATGCAAGCATTCCCACCCACCCAGACTCTGTGGTGGCAGGAGGGATGATTACTATGTTTCAAAAAAATCATAATCATGTCTGGGCAACCATTGGACCCCATGTATGTCTGTCCCTGCTCCGTGCTAGGGTGCTCAAATGCTGTTTCTTGACTGCATCCTTCAGATAGGAATTGAACCCCAATCTTCTACACGTTGTTGTGCGAAAGACCTTGCTGTTTAAAAAACAACAAAACAAAACAAAACAACAAAAGCAAAACTCTGTAGAAATGCTTTGAGCTATCTTAAGGTGTTTGTGGTCATACTGTCATTTGAGAAATTTGCATGCCAGGAGTGGACCGCCACGGTCCTGTGTGAGTGGCGGATGTTGTTGGACCAGGTGGCTGTGGCTGGTGCAGGTGGCTGGTGTACATCCTGGGAGGGGGAGGGGGAGGGGAGGAAATGAGGCAGAGTTACTAAGAATCCACGCCTGACAATGAAGGCACAGTTTGCGTTCCTTTCACAGTGAGCAGACATGACTTTGAACCCTGGTAAATGTGGATGCCCTGTTTTTATCTGGTCTCAGCTGTGTTGCTGAAATTAAAAAAAAAAAAAATTCTTTCAACCAGTGTCTTTTAAGAGTGGGGTTCCATTTTAATTAGGAGAAAGGCAAAAATGTCACTTGCCATGCCAGTACGTAATTCTTTGAACTAAAGTAAAACAACCTGCTGCCTACGACTAGGAACAAAATAAAATATAATAATAATAAAAAAACCCAGGCTTGAAAGAGAACAGGGTTGAAACTGACTTGCTCTCCGCACCCCCCCCCCCATACACCCCTGCCTGGGCTCCCGAGTCCTCCCCAGCCCTCCCCACACCATGGACTGTAGGTTAGACACTTCCTGTTGCCCCTTTTATAAGCAATAAGAATTTAATAACTGAAGGCAACTCCATAGCAATATTTATATGGGTCAAGTGGCTTAAAAGTATGCAATAAATGTAAAGTTACGAACCACATTGCCCCTTTTTAAATAATGCAACGAGCGTGGAGATATTGTGTTTCATATTCTGGAAAAAAGGTGTTTCGGACTAGGCTCTCAGCGTACAGCAGGCATGAAAAGTTATACCGAGCCCATAACAAAGTCACTGCCTGCTTAATACAGTGTGTTATGTCGAACTCCTCATCCTAATCTCAGCCCACAGCAAGACGGTCCCAGATGGCACCAACAAAACCTTAGCTTTCTCATTAGCAATCAGCAAATTCTCCTGGTGTCTGCGAGTTTCAAATCAAGGCAAGTGCCTCGACTCCTCGTGTGAAGCCCAGTAGGATAATAGAAATAATGTTGTCTAATCAGTGGCGAACACTTGAGAGCCCCCATTCATAATGGGCTGGAGGGAACTTGGTGAGTTTGCAGCTTTCACAAGTACCAGGAGCCCTGG